GCCTGGAGGTTTGCTTGTTTTATTAGTTCACCTAAATGGAACTAGATGGCGTGTCCTCTTCTTTTGGGCTTCTAACAGTTCCTTTAGGTGGGAGAGAGACCAGCTTTTTCTTACTTTGCCTCTGTCTCCATTGAAACAGTTACTTAAACCAAAGAGAACAAGCTTCTTTTCTTGTACATTTTCTCCAGTTTTCTGTAACTTCTGATTTTTCTAATCTAACAGCAGTAATTTCAGAAACTGCTTGCCTTTGGGACAAAGTGACTTATCCAGCCATTGTACCTTCTAGTTTAAAGACTCTGGCAGCGCTGAGAATGGAGGTGGGGGCTGTGGGAGTTGTGGGTGGGTGGGGAACCATCTGCTTATCTTTTTGAAATGTTTATTTTATTTTTTCTCTATTCTCGACTCTGGCAGACTCCGGGACAGTCTGTCTTTCCTTCTCCAGGTCTACATATGCGGGTCTCAGCGTCTTCCTGTGGGGACTTGCCCCTCTGGCCGTTCCCCTGGTTGCATTTTGTCACTGACATCGGTTGTTCTCGCTCTTCGCTGGTGACTGCAGGTGTTTAGATCTCGTGATTGTCCACATTCAAACGACCATGGAAATCAGAGCTTTTTCTCTTGTCATTTCCTCTCCTTTGTTTGCCCTACAACAGGAGGAAAAAAGTCAGTCTTAATAGAGACTATGAAAGAATAAACATAGCTTTCTAAAAATTTTATTGAATTTTTTAAAAGACTATTGTTTTAGAGCATGTTTAGGTTCACAGCAAAACCAGACAGAATGTGTAGAGATTTCCCGTGTACTCCGGCCTCCACACATGAACACCTCCCCCTTGTCAAAATCCCCCCCAGAGTGGTGTATGTGTTACACTCAGTGAACCTGCATTGACACACGTGATCGCCCAAAGCTCTTAGTTTACATTAGGGCTCACTCTTGCCATTGTACATCTATGGGTATGGATGGCTGTATAATGACACGTATCCTCTGTTTTAGTATCATACATAGTATTTTCACTGCCCGCCAAAATATCTTTGTTTGGGGATGTTTTGCTCTGTTCAACCCTCCCTCCACCTTAACCCTTGGCAGCCACTGATACTTCTACAGTCTGTAATTTTGCCATTCCCAGAATGTCCTATGGCTTTTGTAGATGCTGTAAATGGTGAGTTGTTTTCCATGAGTTTAATAGAAAGAAATTAAAAGTGGTATGTGAGTCCAAATCGTTCACTCCCTAACAGGACCATCACCCAGCAACTGCATGAGGAATTATATCAAGGTCAGCCTTTATTTAGAAAAAGAAGGAGAGTCGCCTTTGTGATGTACTCACCAAAGTAAAATCTTGTGTGCTGACACATAAAATTTTATCATCAGTGATTTATTTCCTTGTAGTAGTGTCCCTTTGACCTTCTTAATAAATTCAGATAGTCTTGGGACGGTCAGCATTTTCAGAGAGTTTCCTCATTCTGTAGAAGTGTTTCTCATTGTTAGTGTTTAAAAGCTGTAAAAGCCATCTAGTATAAATTGACAGCCATTAAAGTTTGTGAATGGGGTATGAATCTTCCACCATTTTACCAAGTGATTATTTTATTGTGAGTTACTGGATTGTTTATAAGGAAATTGTGTTATGATGCTCAGTCTGTTTCCATGAACTGCTCCCTCCTTGTGGCTTTTTACACTGTGATCAGCTTTGCAAAACTCACAGAACAACTTTCTGGCATTTGAAGACATAGTGGAAAAGTAATTTTTTTTTCTTTTCGATATTTCCCCTGCCATTCCTGAAAACTGCAGTTAGAAGTTGTAAAGCTGGTGTATTTGGCATTCTTGGGAAGAGGCAACATCATTGGTATACAGCTGTGTGCTACTGTTTTAAATAGTGTCCAAAAGGATAATTGAATTCATGGACATCTAAATTTAATTTCAGAAATCTAAGCTATGGTAATAAGAACTTGGACCTGAGTTCTCTTAGGCCAAGTAATTTAATTCCTTAGCCAGTTGAACTATTATATATCTCTGTTCTTTGTTATTATGCAGTAAATTGCTCAGGCAGATGCAATGATGGATGGTAGCCATATAATTCAGTCTTTTTCATGGCTAGACACATACCAGAATGCAAATCACATTAAACAGCTGTTTTCATAAGCATGTTTTTGGTTAGGAGCTTTAAGAGCAGCATTCCATTAATAACAGAGAAGGCTGGAGGAGGCACCCGGGGGTGCCCAGACTTGTGTTTTCATCATCCCACCTGGAAGCACGGTGCTGTGTTAACCCTCTATCATATGCTTGGACGTTGTCACTTCAATTGTGGTTCAAGATTGCATGTACATTTCATGGTTTACGGAGAATGCTGGTTTGATTTATTTGATTTTTCTCCCTGGCTTTCTCTGAATTTTCCACTTAAATTGGAGAACAGTATTGGTGCCTGTGATTTGATTGAATAAATAAGTGATCTGAAACATAATAAATTAACTGATGACATGCATCTTGTTATCTTTTTTTATTCACCGGTAGTACAACATTGAGATTCTATAGAAAAGTGCAGGCGGTATACCGGATCAAGTTTAAGGCAGCTGAGCAACTGTTAAGTTTAAGATTGTTTTGGAATGTTATCTCAAGTTGTAGACTTTTGTGCAGAGATTCAGGCATCAAAAAATCAATTATTCCACCTCATTTATCTCTCAGCAGATGAAGACTGGTACCATCTGATTATCAGTGCCAATGTTTTCACTTTCTCTTTTCCCCTGTTTATTTCTTCATGGTCTTATGGATATGTTAAAGAAACTAATCAGGGCCTTCTCTGTATTAACACTTCATTTATTAACACATGAATAAGTTATTATTAATCAGTTATTCTGCTTATTCTTTAGCCACATGCTTCCAACTTCTTTGGACATGTTTGTTTGTTATCCTCGGGTCCTATTTAATCAGTGTTAGATTTTCCACTTGGGGATCATACACATTTTTATAGAACTTTTATAAGTCCTTTATGCCATTCATGCATCATATGTGATCACAGATGTTCCGTGGGGGCCATACACATCTTCATAGGACTTGTATAAAATGTCCTTTAAATTCTGAGTTAATCGAAGAATTCCCGCTAGTGCTGTATTCATCTCTGTATTTTCCCTTTCACTGTCAGCAAAGGTATTTGTGGCTGTCTTGTTAGACTTTGAACTTTGAATGCCTTTCAGTTTTCTTGAGCCATCTTCCTTGCTGTTGTCCTAGATCATGGAATTGTACTGTTCTCTTTCTTTAACATGTTTGAAATCAGATTTCCTACGTACCACTGTACTCATACTCCCATTCCAACGCTTCATGTTGTGGCTGACTCAGATGCACCAGGTTCCTGTCACTTTTCCCAACAATGATCTCCTTGTTGGCCAGAGTCAGCTCTGGGGTAAGAATTTCCCTCTGCTTTCCCTTTTTTTCTGGGGACATTTCATTGTCAACATAGCAGCTCTTAATCCTTTGACTGTGATGCTGCTTCTCAGATAGACCTGTGGCAGCTGCTCTGGTAGGTTGAAATCCTCTGCCACATCTAGATCTGTTTCCTATATTGGTTTTGCGATCTGATCAAGGACATCTATTTCTCCTGTCCAGCCAGGTGGTATGTGATAGACTTTTCCTACTTGACACTTACATTCTTATCTACATTTACCTGATTTCCACAAGGATTTCTTAATAGGTCTTTTAAATTTTGTTCTAGATGTGTCCTCCTTTTGTCATCCAAATTTGCTGATTTATTAGTTCCCATTGTGCATCGGCGTATAGATATTTAATGCCATAAATATTATTTCTGACTCTCTTCTCAATTATACTGGAGTTAGTGGTTGTCTGTTGCCATTATTGTCAGTATTGCATATTTCGTGGTTCTCAGAATATCGTCCGCTGACCACCAGCACTGGTGCCACTTAGGAACTTGTCAGAAATGCAAATTCTCAGGGCTCATCCCAGACACACTGATTCAGAAACTCTGGGGCTACGTTAGAAATAGTAGGTACAGTAGGTGGTACCTCGCGATCTGTGTTTTAATAAGCCTGCTAGGTGGTTGTGATCCTCACTGAAATTTGAGAACCGCTGAAATATTTGATGCTCTACAAAACAGAAGTAATTGGCGAAAGTACAGAGCTCAACTAAATAGTTTCAGTGGGCATCCCTGACCACAGGGCATTAAGCCAGTTAGTTCTTTCCTTTCTGTGTACAGTTTAAACTCTCATTACCGGTTTTTGAACCAGTTTCTACCTACACTTGAATATCTGCCACAGTGCAGGTGCTGTGTGGTTCTTGCATATTCATTATGAGAAGGAATCCCCATAACACAGTAAATTCAGTTTTGGTCTCTCCCACTCCTTTTAAATAGACTTTACATTTTGGAGTAGCTTTAGGTTTACAGAGGATTTGATTGGAAAGTACAGAGTTCCCCTCTAAGCTCCCCTTTCTTCCCCGACGGTTTGCCCTACTGTTAACATTTTGCCTTAGTATGGTACAATTAAACCAATATTGATACATCATTATTTACCAGTGTTCCTAGTTTACATTAGAGTTCACTTTTTGTGATGTACATTCTTTGGGTTTTGACAACTGTGTAATGCCATGTAACCACTATTACAGGATCATACAGAATAGCGTCACTGCCCTAAAAATCATCTGTGCTCCATCTGTCCACGCCTCCCTCCCTCCCTCTGAATGCCTTGGTAGGCACAGGTCTTTTTACTGTCTTCATAATTTTGCTTTTTTCCAGAATGTCATATAATTGGAATCGTGTCATACGGTTTTAGCAACTGTGTAAAACTAAGAAGAGCTATGGCCAAGGATAAAGAGTTTCGCAGACCTTCCGAGCCAGGATTCATACTTAGACCTGCTAGCTTTAAGCTCTGTGTGTGTGTGTGTGTTTTTTTCTCCCGTGTCACATTCCCTCTCAAATTACCAAAATTCCTTCTTGATGATTTTCTTTTTCTTTCCTGCAGTTTGTGTAATTGACTATGATTGTTATTTCTGTTTTCTCTTACAGTGAAGACAAAGTTGTAGAAATAGCAGAGGAAGAAGAAGTGGCTGATATTGAGGAAGAAGCTGAAGATGACGAGGATGATGAGGATGGTGATGAGGTAGAGGAAGAGGCTGAGGAACCCTATGAAGAGGCTACAGAGAGAACCACCAGCATCGCCGCCACCACCACCACGACCACGGAGTCTGTGGAAGAGGTGGTTCGAGGTAATCCACTGTTGGCTTGGGTGCTCCCCCATCCCCCAAGGAAAAGAAAGAATAACTCCAGAGAGTTTGACGTTGCCCTACCACCATTGCCTTCCTTAATCCTCCCCACCAAATTGTTTTGTTCCAATATAAGGCTTCTTCTTATCCTTCTTGAATTTTTTGTTTTAACAAGGAGTCTAACTACTAATCTCAGATATCGTGAAATCCTAATAGTACAGTTTGTCTTGTACCTTGTAAATGGCACTTGGCAAAATTGTTCTATAAGACTCCACCTAACCAGGCGTCATCTCATTTGACAGACACTGAGTTAGCTGACTCCTTGTGTTCCCCTGGCAGTGGGTTTTGTTTGCTGCCTCTTTGGCCACGTAGTCTTGTGAGCTCCATGAGGGTAAGGACTGGATTTTACTCAGTATCATTCAGAGTGCCTGGCTCATTGACAGTTTCTGGTAAATCTTAGTTGAGTGAGTAATTGCGGTTAGATTGCATTAAAGAAGGAGATTTAGTGAGTACCACATTATTTCGTGCTATGAAATTTAACCTAGATGATTTGTGTTGCATTTAAATTATTTTATTGGGGAGTATGACAGTGCTTTCTGCAAGAAGATGATGCATTGCTGATATCTTAGGCTTTCTTTTTCGGTTGAATTAATGTTCCTGTTAGAATCTTGTGAACTGAATTAACTAAAAGACTTACTTTTTTTGTCTCCATGAAATAAAAGCAAACATTCAGTTTCTATTAGACAGCCAAATGTTACAATAACTAGTAACTAGTTAGATCATGTTTCTTAAAGGGTATGTATTTGTTTTGCAGATAGTAAAAGATGCTTCTAGAACTAGATTGAGTGAATATAAACTTAATTGAATTTCATTGTATTGCAAATACTTTTAAAACTCATCCACCAATGGTACGGTATTGTAAGCCTTCCTCTCATTTTATATTAAGGCATAATGATTTCAGCTCTATTGTTATATCAGAACTTAAGATAGGCTACTTTCTCTGCCTGAGATACATTCCTAATTATCATCGTAACATATCCTGTGCTTTGTTGCATGTTTTTTACAGCTTTTAATTTACATCACATTCATTCATTTTTCAGTATATAACTCAGTGGCTTTAATAAATTTACCAAATTGTGCAACCATTGCCATAATCCAATCATCAACCTAATAAAATCGTTCATACCTATTCACAATTAATCCATGTACTTACCTCTAGCCCCAAGCAACAGTTAATCTACCTTCTGTCTCTATAGAGAAGAGGAAATTAGGTTGGGACCAAAATGGGGAGATCTTCAATTTCAGGCTGGTAGATATGGGCATTAACTGAGTGAGGGTGATTAATTCAACATATATTAATTCAGGACCTACTAAGTACTGCAGATTTTTCCAGTAGACAATGAAGAGATTGTGCTTTGATGTTGTTGGGGTGACCGGTAAACAAGGAGTGACATAATTTATGCACTATGAGAGAATACCACATAAAGTTATGCCCATATTCCAGACCAAGACAGGATTCTCTTGAGAATCCTGTAGCCTTGTTATCTTCTCCTTTAGTCCAGTTCTTTTAGCTTAATTGTACATGTAATATTATTAAATACTAAGATGGAACATAGAGGGACATCTATGTTATAGTATTGCCTATAGAAAGGCAAAGGCAGTTATAAGACATTTTTTTTTAATCTCCCGGGCTGGAGGTAAAAAAGAAAACTAGCCTTAAAAAATAACAAATTAATAATTTTGATGGCAAATAAAAGTAAACTTCTAAAAGCAAATCCTGGTCAGAGGTCCCAAATGTTGATGCCAGAAATAGAAGAGCCTTTAATGGGAATCCATCTATTCCATTTCAGACTCCTGAAGTGGATGAAAGCTGTAACTGAGACAAGTCTTTATGGGAATGGGGGCCTACCAGAAACATGTCATGGTACATTGTGCCCTTGTAAGTTAGTTTTTTGTACTCCTAAAGAAATAGAAGTTTGAGGTGCTACCATGCAAGAGATCAGCTACAAAGAACCTTTTCTTTTTCCATCATTGGTGTAGAAGGTGAGTTGTGTTTCTTCCCCAATTGAGAGACAATGCCAATGCCATAGGTGGTTGCTCACTTTGTAAAACTCTCATTGCAAGTAGCTTGCTTCTGTGCTGAAAATAAAAATTAGAAGTGACTTGCTAAGAAGAGATACTGAAGGTAGGCTTACCATCTCATTTTCAGTGTTAATGTTTCAGCACCTGAAAGAAAATGAGATTTACAACCATACTTAGAAAGAAAATTGTTTCATCATTCCCAACATATTGCTACTAATACCAATCCTTAATGTGCTTTCTAAAAAACTCAATACTTTTGTAACTCATCAAAATTTGAAAGAAATAGATAGGGAGAAGAAAATAGAAGACATATCAACATGGTCATGAAATTTTCTGCCGTGTTGTGTTAGAATCAGTGATACGAAAGTGGGAGATGTCTGTTCTCTGTTATTGATTTCAGAGGAAAAAGGTATTGTTTGAAAGTGAGCACGCTATTGCCAAATCCACCTGGCTTTTGGGTTTATTGTTGTGTCTGGTAGTTAACAAAAAACTTAGATATTGTTGTAGTAGAATAAATCATTACCAATTTGAGTAAAATTATAGTATATTTAGACATTTGCCCCTAGTTTTCTGTTCTTCGAGAAGGGATTTTACACTTCATAAACCCAAGATGTCAGGGTAATTTCTGATTGAGCCATGAATTCTAAACTCCGATTAAACATATTCATTGAATAAATGACATACTCTTTAATTTAATCTAGCCAATTTTGCCTGTCCAGAGTAACTGGGCTTATGTTCATTTATTGAGCAAATAGTCGTTGTGCCCCTGCTAATTGGCAAGCACTTTGCTACCATAGGAGGTGTCACAGGGGCAGAGCAGACGTGCTTTCGCCTGCTAGAAGATTATGGCAGGTCCCAGATGAAATTCTTTGTTGCAGATAAAGATTTTCAGGATCACCACTTCCTTTGCTCTTTGAGGCACTGATTCTGTCTTTTAGTCCTTGTAGATATGAGGTGGGAATTTTACTTCCCCATTTAAAACTAAGAGAACAAAGGCCTAGAGAATTTTTTTTTAATCGCTCATGGTCATAACTGGTATGTGGTGAAACCAGCATTTGGACCCAGATTTGCCAGGATATTTCTGCTATACTCATGTCAAAATTATACTTTTACATTTCTTTATAAATCTTCACTAATTCTTTTAACCTGTGTTCCCTTGTACACATATATTTCTTTGCTATAGGTATATATCCATTTCACAATTATTTCACACTGCGCATTTCTGAAATTTTAGAAGTCTTATTTATGAGGTTTTTTTGTTTATTGTTTTTGTTTTGTTTTGTTTTGAGACAGGGTCTGACTCTGCACCTCAGGCTAGAGTGCAGTGCCATCATCATAGCTCACTGCAAACTCTAACTCCTAGGCTCAAGTAATCCTCCTGCCTCAGCCTCCTGAGTAGCTGAGACTACAGGCACATGCTACCATCCATGGCTAATTTTTTTTCTATTTTTTGTAGAAACAGGATCTTGCTCTTGCTCGGGCCAGAATTATTATTTAAATCAAAGTAATGATATGGCATCTGCAAATAATAATAATGATCTGTGGCCATTGGGCCAAAAATGGCCTTTTGCCTGTTTTCTCAGCAAAAGATTTTATTAGGGTACATCCAATCCTATTTGTTTACATATTATCTATGGCTGCTTTCCTGCTGCAGAAGCAGAGTTGAGCAATTGCAAAAGAGACCATGTGGCCTATAAAGCTGAACACATTTTACTATCTGGTCTTTACAGAATAGTTTGCTGATCCCGAATACTGACTATAAGGACATGACTATGAAGTTCATATATTTCAGATAAGACCCATATCATGTTAATTTCTTTAAGGTAGTTTTCTTACAGTTAGAGGCAGACTAGTATAGTGTTTAAGAAGGAATTTAATAATTTTATGGCCTTGAGCCAGTTAAGTAACCTATCTTTCATGTGTGCAGTGTAGGTGGCAATGTTACCTTGCATGTTTATAGTGAGAATGACTTTAAATAATCTGTGTTCAGCACTTACCATAATTCCTGGTAAGCATTCAGTTTTCAATTTGTTTTACAAGCACAGGCTGCCCAGATTGGAATCTTTTCTCCACAGCCTACTGACAGTGTAAATTTGTATAAATCAAATAACCTTTAATCTTCATTGCTTTCTTTTATAAAATGGGTATTAATGTTACCTACCTAATATTTAACTATTCTGTGAAGATTAAATTAAGGAAGTCATGGGAAATGCTAAGCATAGTTTTTGATATACAGTAAGTGCTAAGTTAACTTTAGCTGCTTTCTCAATTATGGTTATAATCACCATTCCTATCCTCCATTGTATTCTGAACATTAGAGAACTAATGATTACTGCTAATCAAGAGTACCAAAGGTGAGCCCACACATTGACTTTTAATTATAAAAAGCATAAATGTGACCAGTCTGTATCTACTGGCATAATAGAACTAATTTTTTTGAATTTTTAATTATTATGAGTATGTAATAGTTGTGTATCTTTATAGGGTACATGTGATGTTTTAAAATAGACATACAGTGTGAATTAATCAAATCAGGGTAATTGGGGTATCCATCACCTCAGGCATTTATTGTTTCTTTGTATTAGGAACATTCCAATTTCACTCATTTAGTTATTTTTAATAGAGCTGATATTTATAGACGTTATGTAATGATAAAAAAACAGCTCAAACTCTGTTTCTTGCTTAAAATGTTTTTCTGAGTATATGTTATATATTAAAGTATCTGCAGTCAAATTTTATGTCCAGCTAAAAAATTGACCAAGATAGTATTAAATATCTCTGCATTTCAAGATAGAGTTTCATTTCTTATGGGTATTTTAAACCTCATGGAAGTTCTTCTATTAAATAGACAGAGGCACTGATATAGGTGGCTCTTTTACCATCTCATAGGATGATGAAAGCTAGAAAGTTTGATCTGAATG